GTCAACTTTATTTCCTCTGGCTTGATTACTCTTCTCACACAACAGAAACAACCTTGACCTTGAAGTTGACCCAAGTGTCAGACGTCAGATTTGTACAAGATTTATCACAGTGATATTAATATGTGATGTTGTGAAGTAAGTTTCTTCTCAAGTTGGTTGATTAGAAATCTGATCAATATATATCAAACAAACTAATCAGAGAATTTGTGGATGAAAGCAGACAGAAATTACCATTAAGATTTCTTACTTGAAAGCTCTCTCTGATAAAAGAACTAATCTTAGAACTGCTGAAAAATTGAAACTCACAGCCTAATTGGCAAACTGAGACTAAGAACAGCATCCACACATGCAAAGTTATATCCATTATGAGAACCATTCCATTACTGCCTCCCTCAGATAGTTATTTTTTTCAATGTAAAAGTGGCTATTTGGAAAGACTATATATGTTGACCAATGTTATACACAACTCTACACATGAAAAAAGAAAGCTGACTCTTATATTTTCAGAAATTTTACCAAGAGAAATAATACTATTTAAAGATTAGTCACTCATATTAACATATCTACCTTTTTTTAACCTTTGCTCCTTACTTTACTTAGTGACCCTGGTCAGTGCTTTTATGCTCTTACTCCTCAAGACACCTGATACCACTTTTCATTATGAAATACATACTCACTTATGATTCCTTACATGTAAATTTCATAAATTGCTAACAATGTATTACTAAACTGTTATTTTGGATTTGGACTTAATTGGATTTTTGATTTTTAATTAAACCACAATATGGAAAAGTGATTAATGAAAGCATCCAACTATTAATAATCATCTCAATGCAAGAAATGCATGAAATTTAATCCAATATTGTTTGATCGTCTTAAATAAATATTCATAAACAACATAACAAGTATGTAGCAAGGATATGGTTTTAATACTTTTAATTACTCTTATAAAATTAACTAATTTCTACTAGACAACAATCATATCATCTAACACTGATCTCTCTTTGAACAGTTAACATCAAATTAATTAATACTTATAAATTAGAATGAGTTATTAATTAACTTTGTTTGTCTAGGTAAGATTTGTAATGAGTCCAGGTTGCTTTAGTCTGAGTTGTCACATAATTCGTCTGCCAGGTCTTGGACTAGGTTCAACTGATTCAAAAAACTCTTTATTGTACATGGGTCAGAATTAGGCTCAATACAGAAGGACATGGTCCTGTCTAACATTCAGCTCAAAGGGACAAAATAAATAATGAATGAATCAAACAAGAAAAAAATACCCAGTACTTAGATGGATATTGTGTTCATAATTATAAACATTGTATAAGTGATAAACATATATTGTGTATCTATATTCAAAATGTCTACTTGTATCCTATTTATATATATAATATATTTTTGCAATTTTTCTGCAAATAATAATGATTGATGTAACTGAATCCTTATTTGAACTATTTGTTGTATTTACAACCTCTTTCACAAACTGATGTAAAGATTATAATAGAAATATAAAAACAGAAGCATGTTTCAGTTTTTCTATATCACTCTTCAATTGATGTATTAAGCACTATTTTAACAGTGAACATATTTGATTATTGTCTGATAATATGTAAGTGTAAGTGTACAAACAGTACAGCACTGAATAAATAAAATACATACCATCGGGATCTGAGGTATTCTTGCCTTGTGTTCTCTCTACTATATTACTATCATTATTAACAAATATCTTATAATAACCTTCCACCATACATACAAAATTCTGAGCATCTTCTGTTAATAATCCTAAACTTATAGTCTGTGTACCCTAAAATATCATCATTACATATCATATCTATCCAAGAAATTGCTACAATATGTTACAAATAAGTGGGAAATAGTGCCTCTTATCTGAATTTATTTTTTACATCTTTCAAAGAAGTGATTGTTTATCTACAAAAGGTTGTATCTTTTCAGTTGATTTTACATCTTCTCTGGGAAATGTTTGATCTCATTACCACACCATTTTCACAAGCCATAATATTTTCATCAATATGGTATCTACCTGATAATCATTTCATTTTCAATTTTCTTTTCTTTTTTTTTTCAAAGAAAATTTTCTTTGAGAAACTAAAAATAATGTTTTGCTTTTAAATAAATGCAGATTAGATCAGACAATTTGTCCAATTTATATATACATATATCAAGACTACAAATAAATATATAATACTTACAAATATTGGATCATCTTTTGTATTAATATCAACTCTCTGCATATTATCTCCTTCTTTAGTCACTGTTATTGTACCAATTTGATCAAAATCAGCCAACAATCCCATCTAATAATAAATAATTCAATAAAATTATTCACTGGGGTTATTGCCAGTTTTTGTCTGGGTGCATCTATCTATTTAAAATCTACATACAATCTTTGACCCAACAGAAATATATCTTAACTCATATAATTTGTCCTTAGTGCTATAGAAGGCTCTATTGGATTAGACCAATGCGTATCAGAACTATTTTTGTGGAATATTTTAACTCATACATATGTACAGGTCAAGAAAAAAAATCTGGAGATTTGCCTTGAAAAATCAGGAGATTTGATGAAAAGTCGTTTGATTTTTCCAAAGCATGTAAATTCATGATTTTGAAACTCCAAATTGATTATTTATTTTTTTAAATAAGCCTAAAAGCCTTTTAAATTAATTAAATTAATCATAGGCCTACATGACACAGTTAACTTAGTTAAAATTAACAAATCTATAATAGGGATAGGCTTACTCAGGCAAAATAATTCTATAGTGCCTGATATTTCAAATTAAGGGGCCCAACAAAATTTAATATTGTCATTCTTCAGTATTGATTGAATCAAAAATAATGTCAAGGTGAAATGAAAACAAGAAAGCATTTAAATGGTACCAGTAGGCCTACATCATACATATTTAGTAAATAATATGTACTGGCAATGTTACTTTTTCCAAAGGTGTAATTCATGACATCTAAAATATCTCCAGTCCAATCATTAAATACTTTTCCTGCAACACTCTCACGAAGTATTGAACTGAATTTACCACTTCCATTTTGACATTCTTCAGAATGGAAAGACTTGCATTAAGTAAACCCGTTATGCAGGTAATAAATGAATGTTTACAGGCTACAGTAAAATTACAAAAAACATTTTATGACAGGAAGTTTGAGTTTACATAAGAATTAGACATCCAGTTGCGTATGATAATCTACCGATAATAAGAATGATAGTAATGATAGATATTTTGTTGATTTATGGTAGAGAATTTGAACATTGAAAACGGTAGGTCCTGTGAAATTTGGTCAAGAAAAAAACAAAAAATTGGTAGAATTAGGTATCTTAGTGAACATCATGCAAAAGCGGTAGAAACCTGACAACATCTGTAGATTACACATGTATGTTTTAACTGAACTAAATGCTGAAAACTGAAACAAAATCCTTGACCAACTAAGCATCAATAATATCAGCAAACTGGATCAAGTGTTATACACCACAGTCTATAGTACAATCAGCTAAAACATTAAAATCTTATTTTCGTTTGCAAAGTTACGTGGTTGTTTTTGGCTCTCAACCCCCTCAATAGTCAGGATCCTTTAAGAACCTACATGTTTTGGTCTTGGTACGCCTTTGGTAAATCAAATTTTTCAACCACTGTTAAAGATAGTTAAAATATTTCAAGACTCTTGGCACTAACTAATATGTTTCAACTGATGTACCTGTATCCATTTATATAGTAAGAAAGTAATCTTACCTGGTATGTTTTAATATTAGTTACAACACTAACTCCAGATTTAGGTCCTACTAATACCATAGCTTCACTTTTCTTATCCTACAATAAATATGTCACATATTCTAGACAAAGTGTGATACAAGTTACATCTTTTCAACATGTCTGATCACATTGTCACTAAAAACAAGCTACAATTATCTCTCAATCTATTATAGTAATAAAGGTATTCTGTTACTTTTTCTCCTTCCATATCAAAAATTCCAAATTTAAGTTCATAAAATTTATTTTCTATGTGAGTAGCCATAATGAATATGAAAATCAACATCTGATGGTACATTTAATCTAACAATAATTTTTGTCTTTTCTTGTACAAAGCACAAAATCACTTCACTTCACAATTACTTCACCCAGTTTCCCCCTGTTAGTGATGCAGGTAAGATTGGCTGACATGATAAATGTGTCTAGTTTATCGGATGGGACAATAAACAGAGGCCCTGTGTGCTACAGACTGTGCACATTAAAGATCACTCGACAGTTGGAAATAAAAAAAGGGGCAGGCTAATGCCGCTGTCCTGGCAAAATTTCTCTCATTGCACCCTGCACTGCTATTGAAGAGTAATAAGAACAATATGTAAGATAAAGCAATTTGACAATAAGCAACAGCAATAGTGTTACAAGTCTACTCACCAATAATGTAACCATAAAAACTCGACTACCAAATGTCTTTAATTCACTGACTATTTTCATATAATGTAATTTAGCTTGTAATGCTGTAAGGTTTTTCTGACCAGGGGCAGCTAAACTTTGATTTTGTTTTAAATATTGACTTAACATCTTTCTTAAATCTTTTCCTTTCATATATTCTAATAAACTACCAGGCACAAATTTATCAAATCCAAATTCTTTTCTAAAAAATAAAACAATGATATGAACAGACAAGGAAAGCAATCAGTATCATTTGCAAAGCAAGATAATATACACTAACACAGCAGCTTTGAAAGATGTGTTAAATCCAATTTTTTTTTTCTGACCTAGGACATTGTAAAACCAACATGACTATATATGAATTGTGCATGTTGAATATTTTTGACTATTGCTCTCCCTCAAGTGATGGTGAACATTTCTGTAAGATCATTTACTAACACGAGTTAAATAGAGTTTAATTTTCTTGAATATAATGGGGTTTGCAAACGCTGACCTACTCATTCCTCAAACCTTCTTCGCTTAACCAAAAAACTATAAACACAAAAATTACAATACTTACTCAATAGTTTTAATGGATATTTTACCAGCCATGTTATTAGTCATAGCATGTTGTTGTATTTGTAGAGCTGCTAAACGTAAGGTAGTATCATATTTTAATTCTGAGGCAAATCTTTCATTGACAATATCATTACAACACTGGAAATAAAGCAATTACATTGAGAAATAAGAAGGAAACCACTTTTACAAGAATAACTAACTAAGATAATAATGAGGAAAAATGACTTGTTCAAGGTAAACAGACACTCTGACTGAGATTAAAACCTACAACCATCATCTGTTCGAAGCAACCAAGCAAATCACCTTATGGAAACTTTCCCATGATCTGAACTGGCTGTACTTCGGGACCTGATGAAATTGATTCTGAAAATTTAGCATATCAGATACAGAAGATTGAGTTTAACATTATAGAATACAGAAATTAGAAATAGAATTTCATTATATCCATGCTAGTAAAAGATTTCTGTTTGTTCATGTGAGTCAGTTTTAGAACTGTAATATCAATGTTATTAATATTATATTAAGTCAATAAAGAAATTAATGATATTTATGTTAGTCAATGACAGACTGTGTTTCAATGGGAAATTAATTAGATAAGTCTAGAAAAAACAAGAAAAACTAAAAAAAACCTAAATCTTACCTGAAGATAAAAATATTCAAAAGCTATTGAATCTTCTTTTAATAAATCATAAGCATCTCTTGGTACAAATGTTACTCGATATAAACATCTAAAATGGCGGGCACCAGGTCGTGCTGCTATCTATAAATAGAGTTGTGAGAAAATAAGATTGCAATAATAGCCAGTGACATGTAAACAAATTTTTAATAAAATGGAATAATAGAATGTAACTTACATCTATCAAAGTTTCTTCATCCTGTAATAAGGTCATTTTGCCCGCTGTATTATTTTTCATATTTTGTAAAACTAAACTAAAGAATTGTGTACAGGTTATATTTAACTTTTCATGAAGTGATGACATCACATCCTGTAAAAAAATATAAAAAGACATTCCATAATAAAGAAATATTAATTAAGAGAACTGATGCTAAGAATACTTATTATTATTCAGGTTAATTGTAGATTATCTGTGCACTTTTTATGCTCAAAATTAACTATCTTTAACTCTACCCTGTTTTAGAAAATATCTACTCATTATTTGTGACCTTGGCCAGTGCTTTACATAGCCTATGTTTTTATTCTTAATAGTTTACATTTGAAAGTAAGGTATATGGGTAGCTGAAATTATATTTCATTACTGAACAATTAAGTGGCCATATAACTTTATTGATGAAATATAACAGATTAAATGAATTTCATATTGAAAGTTCAGGTTACTATAAATTGATAGTCTCAGATATTTTGGGTTCAAGGTTTTAGTTTCAAGAATTTCTTTACAATTCATTAGTAGCCATTCTACAGCTGGAAATTTGAAGACAATATTCTGTGCTTGAAGCAAAATTGTAATAATTGATTCAATTAGTGATCAATAATAAGAGTAAATTGAACAATTTTTGATGTCTGCTGTCTAGATATAGTTGTCTCAAATTTCATCTTTCAATTTCCTCTATTTAAGAACAAAAATCTGCTAATAATGTATTGCCAAACTGTTTTATTATTTCATTCATCTAAAAACATTTTGGTGGTAAATGCCTTCAAAACGAACAGAGCTCCACTTGCACGAAATATACCTAAGCAGCCAGTCAATATTTTTCAGCATCTATAGCTTAGAGCTATCTTTTCAGGAGTGTTCTAAATCTTCAAATTAGACGATGTAGATATTAAGAATGATGGTTTATCTGCATTTCCTCTGGAAACTTTTTAAATCAGTCAACACTTTCAAAAGTATGTTTATTTTCAATAATTGATCAAAATTTCAAGTTGAAAAGGATTTCAAATTTTAAGGATAAAAACTAGGTTTATGTTTAACAGAATAAATAGAAAAATTATATAATGAAGCTAGTCATTAGTCTTATAATCTATATAGATCAGACTTTCTATTATCAGATCTGATTTTCAAGCTATAAAAGATGATAATTGACAGTATAAAATGGGGAATATTTATATTATAATCTGTAAGATGAGCAGAAATAGAGATTATTGTCAAGAAGTTTACCCAGGAATATATTGATAGAAATATTATATGAAAAGTTATTAAGGTTATCTTAATTTTAACTATAATGTTAGACAACAATAATCTTGAGTAAAATTTTCCGCGTCTCTAATTCAAAATCAAGATTATTACGTTGTGTTCAAATTTTAAACATGAAATCAGTTTGATATTTTGTAAGCAATTTTTTCTTCGTGCTTTCTTCGTGTTCTACACTCATGACGAGACAAGACTCCACAAAGCATCAACATAATAACATATTAAACAGCAATTAAAAATTCAGCTGTGTTATCTGTGTTAAATTCTTCAAGTTTTGGACTTGACACGAGTGATGATATAAAAAACTAAAGCCTATGAGAATTATTTATAAGCCATTTTGTCTGGAGTTAATGACCAGAACCAACTCTATACTCAATAGTTTTTAATCATAGGGTGTATTCTTTTAGACCTCTCTGTCGAATCTGCACAGAGTATTCAATAGAAAAGAGTCAGACATAACCAAAGAAATTAAAAATGGCAACTTTTTTTACATTATGCAATCCTCCCTCAGGCCTGTTTTTTTCAAATTTTTCAAATGTAAAAATTAATGAGTAAAAAGTTTTATATTATCAACCATGGTATCATATTGATGAAATATAGTTTTACATTGTCAGAAACATGCTCTGAAAACTGATTCATACAATCTGTTAGGAAATAATACTTATTGTATGTAAATTTGCTCTGTGTCAATCTAACCAGTTTCTACAGTGGCAAAAAATACACATTCATCTATGTGGAAGGCTGAAACATATTTGCACCTCCAAAATACATGTAGGTGTAATCTTACTAACACGAGAAAAATGGCACAGGAAGATGTAACAAACACTTGCATTTGCACAATTATACAAACAATATACCCCAGTGAGTATCTTGCCACATAAGGGCTTATTGACTATTATTAACACTATTATTTTATATTTTATTCATATCAAAACAATATAAATTCAAATAATAAATCATATGAACACTTTGGAGTTTGCAACTAAAAAGTTCTTCCAAACAGATATTTGATCAAACTTCTACTTACCCCAACTGTTGTTTTATTATCATATTTGAAAGACTTGGTTTGTCCATTTTCTAGAAAAACTTTCAGGACATTTGGCATGAAAGGCACATAGCTTTCTTGTATGGACGGCTGAAAAGGCAAACCATCAAATTTAATGTTTTATATATATAGTAAGGAGATATGTGTTTGTGTAGACCTACAAATGAATTTTGATTTGTGTGATTATTTTCAGAATGAGAATTCAGTTTTATAGTTTTAACATACAGCTAGTAACTTTCACTGCAGAATACTCATGGTACAAATATTTTACAGGATTTATGGGTAAATGTGAACTAAGGAATGAACGGTAAGACTTATAAGAAGTGATGTCATCTAGTTTATTTGACCATTAAAATTAAACAATGGAGTTTTACATCCTATGTTTCTGCAGCTAATTGACCATTATAGATCCGGATAAATTCATTCAAACTGCTTACGGATATAGCAGTCCATTTTATGCATAACGGTAGCTAAAATTGAGCTTGATATATATAAATATTCCCATATGTTACTAGAGAATGTATTCACATCAGAAATGTCATCTGCAGAAGATTGATTTCATTCATTATAATGAAATAGAAATGATTTTAAATTCCTTTTCCAATTTCAAGTAAAGAACATCAGTGAAGTAGAAGTAATTGTAACTCAAGCAGAAATATGATCTTCTTCAAATCATCACTGATAATATAATACTGATATTGGATTGAAACTTGAAGAGGAAGCAAATATTATGTGAAATAAAATGAATCTGTAATGTTACTTGATTATTACTGGAAGTTACTATTTAAAACAATAGGTGCTTTGTGAACCCTTGCTATACAAAGGACAGTCAACATCTAACCCTTGACGGTTTGCTGACATTTTTGGTCAAACTAACAATGGTAAAAATAATGGAAATAACTCTTATTTCTGTGAATACAATATACATACTGGATAAAAGGTTACTTGCAGAAACTGACTTGTATGTCCATGATATAATGGTATAAAGATGATGATCACCATAAAAAATACCTCTGACAACAAAAGTACAATGACCATTCCTTCCAAATTTATATCCTAATACAGATTTCACTTTGTGCCATACAACAGATTTCTCTTTGAGTTTTAAATTGATTAAAAAAAAATTTTCAAAAACTTAATCCCAAATGGATTGAATGTGAAAATTCTAAACATGGGAATGAAAAGACTTACAGTTAAAACATGGTTACCATTCACCATGACTGATTCAGCAAACCGAACACGAGAGGGATTGCTTTTTAATTTAGCTTTCTTGGCTGCAGTCAGTAACGCTGACTTGATAGAGGACTGAAAAATAGATCAGAAAATAATGAAAAGTGTAAGAGATAGTCTTCAAAATAGAAACCCCAGAAAATCAATAACCATTTAATAGTTTTTCCTCAAAATTTGTGGACTGGTTAAATTTACGTTTGGTTCGCATGAATGCAGGATAAAGCTATATACCAATAGACTCGTCAAACATAAATACTCTCTAACAAATTGAGCCACTATTTATCAAACACTTGTGTTTAGGAAAGCAAATTCCACAAAAACTTCGGATATTTTTCTATTTTCCATTAACCTTTGACAAAGATTGATGTAAATTAATTCTCTTGCATTGACAAAAAACCTCATTAATTTGATGATCATCAATCTAAAATCTCAACATGTTTTTAGAAAATCAAGAAGCTTTTTTGGCATGTTGTTTTACTCTTCTGAATCAACTTTTAACAGGTTAATACATGATCAAAAAGATCCATTTACTTATTATATTCTCTATAGAATTATCAGGATTTCCATAAACATTTCAACTACATTAGAGTTCAAACTATTTAAATTCATACAACAATGTGTATTTTAGATCTTGATGTTAGTTTACATTTTTTCTGTGGTGGTTCATTCATGATCTGTTGGATTCAATTCATTAAAACAAATATTTTAACATATTTGTGCAATATTATGCATGTTTTTTTTTGCATTTTCATGAAATAGAAAAAAATCCTGAAACTTTTAACCTGCATTCAAGGAGCAATCTAAATCTTTGAGCAAAATCTTTGTTTCAATAACTTTCTATCTGCATTTGAAGTGACAAAAAAGGGGAAACATTCAATTTTAAAAATGCAGAGAAAGAAAGCTTAAAAAAATGGACACCTGAAAGAACAATTATTTGAAATTTTGCCATCACAGAGGACTGCACACCAAATCTGTAAATCAATAACATAAAACACTTGATTGTGTATACTGACACATTTATAGGTAAAATTGATAGCTTTGATTTTGAACATAAATATTTGGCAGTACAGTAACAATCACCAGTATTAAATATTCAACCTTCAGTCATTTGAACTCTTTGGGTGATAAAAATCAATTTCACCAAGTTTTATCAAGATCAAAAATCTAGATATAAAAATTTTGAATTATAGAGTGTTAACAAGGTAAAAATTTGAATGCACTTTCAAAAACAAGGGTAGTAACTCATATTTAATATTTTTCAATTCTTTTGATTTTCAACAGGGTTCATCCTTGCATACATGTGTAATCAGGTTTCTACGGCTTTTGCATGATGTTCACCACTCTACCGATGAGATACCTAATTCTACTAATTTTTTGTTTTTTTCCTGACCAAATTTTCACGGGACCTACTGTTTTGAATGTCCAAATTCTCTACCATAAATCAACAAAATATCTATCATCACTTGTATCTTAATTGCCGGTAACACGCGTTAATCACATCACGTAATAATATCATTTTTGCCTGATAAATTAATCTCCCAATTAAGATGGTAATTGGATCTATTTTCACCGGATAATATGTATTTTAAGCCCGCATGACACACTTTTTATAAGACCATCCGGTAGATTCTATTTTCTATTTTACGGTAGCCCTACTTTTACTAAAAAAAGAAATCTTGAAGTCTTCTCAGTATTTTATACTGTTAATCTGTGAGGTCTATAATAGGCCTATATAACATAGACATCATTTCAGAATTATTTTTCATTATTGGTAGATTATCAAACGAGACTGGATGTCTAATTCTTATGTAAACTCCAACTTCGTTTCATAAAATCGTTTTGTAATTTTACTGTAGCATGTAAACATTCGTTTATTACCTGCATAACTGGCTTACTGATGATCCTTGGGTTATTATAAACAACTTCACCAAGATTCTTCAAAATCTGTCAAGATTCGTGCCTTCTAGAGTGTTTACATTAACTTATATTAAATACCGGTATTTGTTCTGATTTTTAATAGGTTTCATCCTAAGGCGATTACACCAAGTTTCGTCAAATTATGATGCATATTCACCAATATATCTCCCAGCACTAGTATACAAAAATATTGTAAATTACTTACATTATCTGAATATGGTTGACACACTGTCAAAACTATGGACTGTTTACAAGCTCTGAAAAAAAACCATATCAAAATTACAAATTTTTTATGTGTCAAAGATTGACATGCTAGTTTGTAGTCATCTGTTATTTCTCAGATTTCATAACATAACTAACACAGAAATCAATTCAACACATGAAGGTTCTGCCATATAAGGGTTTTAACTGTTTGTTTGGGGGAAAAAAATCAAATATATTTCATAGCTACTAAGCCCTAAACCTGTAAAATACTAGAGTTTCTATCCGATTAAGCACTTGTGGACCTACACTTAGACTATGTACATTGTATATTGATCAAACAAATTTAAACGAGACGCTGCTACGATGAACAATGATCTGACAAAACATTTCATTTTGTGATGAATTGTAATTTTTAACTACAAAATCAAAATGGCATTACTTGATTCATACCATTTCCTGCAAGGTTCCCTGGAGAATGAAATGGATCAAGTAGCTCTATCTTGATTTTGCAGGAAAAATTACAATTCATCACAAACAAATCACAATGTTACAGCCAAAAAGTCCTTGTCTGAGATCGCTGTAAATATCGTTTACGAGCTTTGAAATCCTTCAAAAATAAAATGGTGGAAGGCCTCACATCAATAAACTTTTATTTTTAGAACTCAAACTTTCTAGTCATGGAATCCATAATTACTAGTTGTGAAAACTAAAATTTCTAGTCATGGAATCCATAATTACTAGTTGTGAAAACTAAAATTTCTAGTCATGGAATCCATAATTACTAGTTGTGAAAACTAAAATTTCTAGTCATGGAATCCATAATTACTAGTTGTGAAACTAAAATTTCTAGTTGTGGAATCCATAATTACTAGTTGTGAAAACTAAAATTTCTAGTCATGGAATCCATGATTACTAGTTGTGAAAACTAAAATTTCTAGTCATGAAATCCATGATTACTAGTTGTGAAAACTAAAATTTCTAGTCATGGAATCCATGATTACTAGTTGTGAAAAACTAAAATTTCTAGTTGTGGAATCCATAATTACTAGTTGTGAAAACTAAAATTTCTAATCATGGAATCCATAATTTCTAGTTGTGAAATCTGAAACTTGTGCAAAATATATTCATAAAAATATTTTTTTTGGTGTGCCTACAAGGCTATAATGTTTTTTCAAGCTTTTTTTCTACTAAACAAGTCCACTACTTGAGTCTTGAAATGTTTTGAATCTTGCAGTGTAATCTCAAGAGGTGACTCACAACCTTAAGAGATATTTAAAAAAATTGTTTTCAAAAGCAGAAGAGTCTGTTAAGTTTATTTGATAATTCACATGGCGCTTATAAGACTTCATGACTGCTTCTGGGGAAGGGATTGAACTCAAAATCTTAATGTTAACACAAATCTCAACAGACAAGAATTAACTTCCATCAGCACTTGTTGACATAAAATAATCTAAATGTCACCACCTCTTTAAACAAAGAGAACACTAGAAGGGTTTTATTTCAACAAGAGTTCAGCCATGATTAGAATTTCAAGAGAACTTGAAAGAATTCATGTGCATGATTTGTCCTCAAGAAAACTCGGATAATGTTAAGAAAAATGTCTTTGTGGCTTTCATCTTGAAATGAAATTCTTTGTTGTGTTTTCTTGCTAAAATTAGAATGTAATAGTCTTGTAACCTACAGCTAGAAATATCAGAGAAGAAATAAGT